AGAGAAAAAAAAAAAAAAAAAAAACTTTATTCAGAACGATCCAAACGTTACATTAATAAAAATATTTATACATTGAAATTTAAAATTTTAAAAATACCTACACACTCTTTAAAAAATGCTTTAGATTTGGATGAACCAATTTCCTTTTTAACTTTTTTTTTTTTATTATTATTATTATTATTATTTTTAGATTTGGATGAAAGTTCCAAACAACCTAATGATTTAACTTAAGGGATACAATCAACATGAAAATGTATCTACTACGGCTTTGGTCTCATGGGCGTCGGTGCAACGTCATGATCCGTGCAAATGTGTGTTATCTTTACTTGAAAAATAAGAGTAATACAATTTTTAAGACTATTAGGTTTATGATATGCAATACACAATCATATTTGGGAGATCTATTTTTTCATAAAATAGCATGAACTCTTAGTTCGGAGAAGATTGGATGTGTAATACTTCTCTACACACGGCCCATGACATGCATATAAACTCTAGGTGAGTTGGTATAGAAACTTTGTTTTTTAAATTCTAAAATTTCATAGGTTTTTTTTATTAATTTTTTATCGAGATTGGTAGCAACACTGTTTAATTGATAAGAAGACTGTGTTTGTTGTTGTACTTCGATCATGATTGTGGAGTTGGGTTGTCGTAAAACATAGCAGAACACTAGTGGACAAGTCATCGTCAAGTCTCGAATACCGCTGGCTCGTGAAAGAGGTTGAAGGAGCAATCCATCTCGATCCATCTTGGTTCGATTGGGTTCATGTAGCATGGTTCGGTTCAATTCAATACTAGTCCAAGCCTAGATCCAGCAGCTTCATCCTTCAACCCAAAGCCTAGAAACCCCACTAGCCAAGTAATTAGCCAAGCCCAGTTTCTCTCTCGACCCAACAAGCTTTATACACACACGACCCAACCCCAAAGCCCAGCCGTCTATCATACCATTTACAGCTTGACTCACAAGTACAAGTTGGCTCGACTTGGCTTGGTCAACAATAAACTCAGTCAACGACCAGCTCCTCAGTCAATAATCAATGGTTTTGGTCAACTGGACTTGTTTGTCTTCATTATGATTTCGAGGTCTAATGTTTAGGTTTTCCTAGATTTAAATGAATTTTCATTTAAAGATACTAATTTAGGGCAATTTTAATACGAAATTTCTCCGATTTCATACTTCAAATTTATCTGTTAGACGTTTTGAATGCCTATGAACTTTATGTGGGCATGAAAACCATAATAATTACCTATATATGCGTATGAGAACTACATAGGATGTAACACAATCACCAATCATTAATGAGAATTATTTTAAATATCATATTAGGGTTTTGAGATAAATTATATATCCGTGTGCATGAGAGTTGATCGACTTTGTACGATTGATAGATCCCTTGATTTCTCGTTAGTTGATCTGTATGCATGAGAGTTGATCGACTTTACACGATTGACAGATCCTTTAATTTCTTGTTATCTGATGTGGCTGTATATATATCTGACCATAGTAAGATGCGACATAATATTTCTAATACTCAATCTTTTTAAAATTGTAACGTGAGGGTGTAAAATGATATTCATTCATATTGTTTTTCTACGAAAATATCTTAGTCAAACTGGATAATAAAAATATCTTATTACCATTTTAGTCAACGTTTTTTCAATTTTTTCATTTTTAAATATTTAACCTAAACTTTGGGTAATCAAATACTTTATCGAATAAGTTTATCGATATTTTAAAAATGTATAGTTCGATTCTTCATTCTACCGTTTATAAAAGAATATAAATTTAATGGTAGTTGAAGAAATCAAAGTTGACATTAAAAAAAAAAACATTGAGAAACGAGTTTCTAAACTGTGGGAAAGATGTGCACGTATTTCGCTCTGTTCTATAAGTTTAAAGCCTTTGTGCTATGTGAAATTCTTTATCACTAGATGATACATTAAATCTTAACGGTGGTAATTGAAATGTGCTTATTAACTTCAAATTCGAGGTTCAAAAAATTATCGTCCTCCTCAAAAGAAATCTTCTCCTAATTTGTTTCCTCTAATGATGTATGGTTTGGTTCCATTCAAGTTAAAATAGTCTCGGAAAGAAATGATAAAAATATGGCTAAAGAGATAAGGTCAAAGGTTTAGAAAAGGAATATATTTTAAATAATTTTGAATGTCATTGATATGAATTGAAGTTTAAATTTAAAAAATAAATTAGATAAGAGATTGATTCAAAAGATTCAAAAGTCCCCCTTGGGTCGGGTCGAGCACACGTAGGCATGCACCTTGCCCACCCATAGCTCAATAAATCTCCGTATATGAAGTACTATACATTCAACCCTCTTCAGACTCAAAAGCAGCTCAAGGTCATGCATAATGTTTTTATAAAAGGATTGGTTCTTCCATATCACGTGTGTTTGCATTTCTGACTCGACAGTGAAACTATTTCTTAAGTATTTCTTAAAGCGTTTTCATTTCTTCGAAATTATTGTTATTTCAAATTCGCTCTTTAATTTGAAATGAATTTCGCAAACATACATGCGAGTAATGTTTTAATGTTTTAAATGAATTTTCACACCTATCATCCGTTGAAAATTATAATATATCTTAAAATTTGTGTCCGTTGATATTGGAGTTGCTGCAAATTTTCTCCTTAGGCCAAAATAGAAAACGACAAAGTTAAAATGTGAGTATTTTTTTAATTTTATTTTTCCTTTAAATTTTAGTCTTTTTATTTTTATTTTTATATATTGTCAAAGATGTCACACAGATAAAGCTTTCAATTTAAGTGGTTGCAAATTTTCGTTCATTCAAATAAGCCGGCTATTACAAGTTGTTCGTCGACTTCAAATAAAATAAATATCTATTAAACCCTATCACTGTAATTAAATGCGGTCAACGGTGTTCTTGAGTTGGATTGAGTTTAGAACATTTTCGTAGTCGTGTATTTGAGCTGTCACAAATGATATTAGAGTTAAATACTCGGCTGAAAGTCCAAAGAGAATAATATCTGCTAGCGGTATATTTAAGCTATCACAAATGATATTAGAGTTAAGTACTCGACTATGTGCCAGCAAGGAGGTTGAGCCTTAAGGGGAATGGACACCAAGCGATGTGCCAGCGTTCTATAGATGGTATAAGAGACAAACACCAAGCGATGTGCTAGCAAGGAGGCTAAGCCTCGAAGGAAGTGGACACCGAGTGATATGCTAGCGAGGAGGCTGAGCTCTAAAGGGGGATGGACACCAGGTGACGTGTCAGCAAGGACGTTGGGAGAAGCATGCCAATTTATAAAATTTTCATTTATTCGAATCCAACAAAATCCAACCCAAATAAGTTCGTAACCTAACCAAAACAGTAACGATCGAGTTGATTGAGTGGATGGTGGAAAAAGTTTGTTCCTTGGTTGCCAAGCATTTGTGCATATAACATGGAACCTTATCCCAACATCAAGTAAGAAAGCCATGGATATTCTCCTACTTTCAATTCCCCTCCTTCTACTTTCTCTCCTCTTCGCCTTCAACTTTCTCCAAACCCCTCATCGCCTCAACCTCCCACCAACACCACTCTTCTCCCTTCCACTAATAGGCCATTTCCATCTCCTCAAACACCCCCTCCACCGATCACTCCACGCCCTCTCACAAAAGCACGGCCATGTCATCTCACTCCGATTCGGCTCACGCCTTGTCGTAGTCATCTCCTCCCCCTCAGCCGTTCAAGAATGCTTCACAAAAAACGACATCATTCTCGCAAATCGCCCATTGCTCGACACCGGAAAGTACTTAGCATACAACCACACAACCCTCGCCGTCTCACCTTACGGCGAGCACTGGCGCAACCTCCGCCGGATTTGCTCCCTCGAGATATTCTCAACCAACCGCCTCAATATGTTCGTGGGTATCCGAGAAAATGAAGTGAAACGGTTGCTGAGGAAGTTATGTGGGGATTGGTCGGAAGAGTTTAGGGAAGTGGAATTGGAGCCGATGTTGTCGGATCTTACTTTCAACGTTGTTATGGGAATGGTGGGTGGAAGGAGGTTTTATGATGAGGGGTATTCGAAGAAGTTTAGAGATTTGGTGACACAAATTATGGCGCATGGTGGGTCGTCGAATCCGGGTGATTTCATACCCTTATGGAATTGGGTTGATCCAACTGGTTTTAAGAAGAGGATAATGAATCTTGCCCGAAGAGGAGATGAACTTCTTCAAGAACTAATTGATGAAGCTCGAGATGGAAAGGATGGAGGGAACACTATGATTCATCATTTACTTTGCTTGCAGAAAGATGAGCCGGAGTATTATAGTGACCTTATTATCAAAGGACTTATTCAAGTATTTCTCTCTCCCTCTCTACTCTTTTCTTTATGTTTTTTTTTCTTTTAAGTTCATAAGTTCACGAATCTTGTGGGCGTATATTGACATTTATTTCATTCATAACTCTGATTTAGTTCATAACCCTCTCGATTCCTTTTTCATTTTGATTCATGAATCATCTGTGCCTATATAAAGAGATGTATTGAGTTTGATTGAGTTTGAATGTTGTTTTGTATTTATTGAGTGGCATTTTAGAGGAACTTTGTTGAGAGATAGTGTGAGCGTGTGAGATATACACTTAGTAAATATTTTGATTATTGAGATTGGTTGTACTGTAAATTTTTTGGAGGAACTTTGTTGAGAGATGTGTAGTGTGAGAGTGTGAGATATAGAGTTTATAAACACTTTCATTATTGAGATTGATTGCTCTATGGGGATATAGGGAACTTTTTTCTCTCCGAATCACGTAAATTTTTTTGGGAGGAACTTAGTTGAGAGATTTTATAGTGTGAGAATATGAAATATAGTAAACACTTTGATTATTGAGATTGGTCGCTATCCATGGATATAGGGGAATTTCTTCTCCTTGAACCACGTAAATTTTTGGAAGGAACTTAGTTGGGAGATTTTTAGTACGAGTATGAGATATAGACTTTCTAAACACTTTGATTATTGAGATTGATACTTGTAGGTGGATATAAAAGAATTTCTTTTCTCCAAACCAAGTAAATTTTTGTCTCTTTGTTTAATTCATTATGGGTGTATGAGTACAATCAATCTTATTTCTGCTTCTACTACAACATGTTTGTCCATTTATAACCTAAATGTTTGGTTCTTCGTTGTAGGTTATATTCTTAGCGGGGATTGACACGTCAGCTGTGACATTAGAATGGGCGCTATCGCATTTGCTCAACAATCCAGACGTGTTAAAGAAAGCAAGAGCTGAGATAGATGATTTGATAGGAAAAGAGCGGCTAGTGAATGAAAGTGATCTTCCAAATTTAAAGTATCTTCAAGGAATAATCTCAGAGACATTGCGGTTGAACCCAGCAGCTCCTCTTCTTGTGCCACACTGTGCATTTCAAGACTGCAAAATAGAAGGATATGATGTTCCTCGTGACACAATTGTGTTGATTAATACTTGGGCTATACATAGAGACCCAAATCTATGGGAAGATCCCACGGCGTTTAAACCAGAAAGACATGGTGACACGAGTGGAGCTGATTCTTACAAGCTACTACCATTTGGGTTGGGGCGGAGAGCTTGTCCTGGTGTGGGAATGGCGCAACGTGTGGTTGGCTTAGCTTTAGCTTCGTTGATACAAGGCTTTGAATGGGAAAGAGTGAGCAGCTCGTTGGTTGATATGAGTGAAGGTCAAGGGCTCACTATGCCCAAAGCTCAACCATTGGTAGCCAAGTGTAAACCACGACCAATCATGAAAGCCATTATGAACGTAGAAATTGATAATATTTGAAATGTATAACTTCCAAAACCAATAAAACAAATTATAATATTTGTTCTTATTGATTGATAGGCATAATGAGATCTTCCAACCTCGCATGTTTTCTAGGGAATCGGATCAACATAATAAAACGTCATTCATACGTTAAAGTTCAAACATATCATTCATACGTTAAAGTTCAAATATATCATTCAAAACAATTAGAATCAAAATTAGAGTAGTAAAAACTATAATTCAAGCATAGGAGCTAAACTGCTCAAAATTCCCTTTTACTAAGTTTAAATCTTTAATTCCTTGCTTGAAGTAGTCATATAATATGTTCATAATCGTTTTTCCTGTGTCCTAGTCGATTCCTATGAGTATTTCTTCGAGAAATATTCAAAAGGTTATTTATATGTTTGGACATGTTTTGGGGCTTAACTCTCAGGTTTTCCGAACTCCAAATCCTAAAATGAGTAGAAAAAAACAAGAACCGTTCTCGATTGAGTTGGGGTCCAAATAAACTAAAAATTATCATTGGTTTCAGAAAAGTAAGATTCGACTTGACATGACTCCCAATCACTCCTTGTTGAGCAACTAGGCCAACGTACAACCTCACACATACAACCTCAAGTTGTCTATGTCTTATTCTTTAGTCATTTCATGCATAAAAGCTATACCATACTTTATTCAATAGCCTATACATATGCAACAACCAACATATTCAAAGGTGTGGAGGTTATGAAACCTTGTAACTTTCTCTCATTGTCATGGCATAGCTCCCTCAAGTTCACAGACAAACTCCATAGTGAATGAAAGGGTTGCCTCATAGCCAAGAATGGACTCAAGAGGTTTAGCCCCTTATGCGATGCATGATCTTGACTTCACCTATACTACTTGGAAAATATGAGCCTCCTATTCCTCTCTTTTTCTTTTAACTTCATCTCAAGTTTGCTCTTATGATAATACTCTGGTTATAGTATAACGCGCCTAATTTTCTTACCTAAATTAGAGACGTCACTACATGCATGCCTTTAATAACATATGTGAAAGTTGAAACAAAACGTTTCGAACGAAACCATGGACTTAGACGTTTAGTTTAAAACAAGAAATAGAAATAACGTCGTCAAAATAAAACCTTGCATACTACTATCCTATCTTAGCTTCTATGGTTATTCTAGAATTCACCGTTATCCGTGTAGATGTGATTTACCTTCACCTGAAAAATAAGAGTAGCACTTGACTTGAGTATTTTAAGAAATGCTTAGTAAGTGACCCAATGGTTGGAGTTAGGAAATGCAAACACTCACGTACGTGATGAGACCTATCCTTTAAAACTGTTGCATGACCTTGAGCTCTTTCTAGTTCCGGGTAGAGTTGGATATTGGTACTTCTCCACACACGGTCCACGTGCGCACGCACATATGGACCCACAAAGTGGGATATCGGCATATGCTCGAGCCTTGCGGCATGTTTGAAAGAAATATTTTGGAAAATGTAAGCACATAAATACATTGAACAATTGTAAAGAAAGCAATGTTATACGCTAAAAGTGATTTGGCAACAACGACTTTGATAGCATACAACCTGAGTAGGAAGAATTGACAACTAGTCACATCCCCTATAATACATTTTAGGGCATCTTAGCCCTAGTGGGTGTAGACATGATTTTGGTGACCAGTCATATACCTCGTATTGACACAATATGAAATAGTAAAGGTCTATCTAGGATGAAAGCATGTAAAAGGGGGTTTGAAACTGGCATTCGGCCATGATAGCACGTCCTCGACAAGCATGACCGTGACATCCGACATGCAGCCATAGAAAACACGCCTTGGACAAACATGATCGTGACATTCTCCCCCCACTCAATTGATTGACGTCTCTGTCAACCGACTCTTTGTGAATTTAACGATGTAGGTTGAGGCAGATTTTAGGTCTCTCGACGCGATTCCAGCTGATCTCTTCATTGAGGAATCTCTTCCAATCTGCAAGGAACTGTTGAAAACTACTTCTTGGTTTGTTGACTCTTGGTGTCTTCTCTATCAAAGTCTCTCCTACTTCCTTCACTTAGAAATTCTTCTTCTTTGCACGAGGTTGTGTTGTCTCTTTGTGCTTGACGTCTTCTTGGTCGGGACATTAATGTTTTGAGTTACTGACATGGACAACAGGACTAGTCTTTCGACCTTGTGGATAACTTCGACTGTCCATAGTAATTTCACACCAATTTTTTATTCTTGTTGTTTTGATTTTGGGTTGATCTAACCTCAATTTTGATCAAAACTCTCCCTCCTTACACGCCTTGATGTCTCTAGCCTTGGGTGATCACTAACAACAGTCTTCGCGGGTCTAATTAACCCGACTATTAATAAGTCATTTACATATATTTAAGATGTTTTAAGTTTTTTAGGATATTAGGTTAGAAATTGAGATATATAACTTCCAATGTATGATCCTCGTTCTAGAACGTAAAAAATATCTCACTTCACATTTGATACTCATTTATTGTTTTTGAAATTTAGTTAATAATTAAAAATGTTTTTCTTATGAACAATGAGAAAATATATGCCATTTTAAAAAATTAAATGATTATGAATGCATAACCACGAACATATTTTTAAATATTAAAATGAATTAAGCTCATGAATTATTTTACGTATAAGCAATATTTTATGTGAATGAGCTTAAACTGAATTAAGCTCTTTATTTTTTTCTGACATCATCAACACGACACGTTGTCTCTCGTCCCCTCTCAAGACGGGTTTACATCTACACATAATAGTAATTTCTCATGTCACCTACTCATCTAGTCTCTTGTCCCTTTATTAAGGTGAGTTTTCGAGTCTTCCCTTGTTTCTACATATAGTAGTGGTTCTTTATGTTCTCTTTTTATGTAGTCTCTCGAGTCCTCTCAAAGCGAGTTTACAAGTCTTGTCCCGTTTCTACACACAGTAGCAGTTTCTCACATTACCCGTACTCATGTAGTCCTTCATCCCCTCTCAAGATGAGTTTACAGGTCTTGACCCATTTCTACACGTAGTGGTGATTCTCATATCGCCTACTCATGTAGACCCTCATCCCCTCTCAACGAAGTTTATGGGCCTTGGCCCATTTGTACACACAGTAGGAGTTCTCATCTTGAAAACTACCTATATAACCCCTAGTCTTTCTCTAAGATTGGTTTACAAAGTTGGAGTGTAAGCCTTATCTCGTTTCTACAAACAATAAGAGTTCTTACCTTGAGCTAACTACATGTGTTATCTCTACTCCTTCTTCAGAACCGGTTTAACAGGATTACGACATCAACCTTGTCTCGATCCTACACTCAATAGTGACTCAAGTGGGCTAAAAGTTCTGTTAAGCTTCCTTAATCATGTTTAGATGTTGTGGAGGCCTACTAGATTCTTAGGGGCGTCTAGGTGGTTATCACTAGTTTCCAGGATATTCAGGGTTAGCTCGTCAGGCTAAACCAATCTATGGGTACACACAGGTCTAAACCTCACATTGCTCACGATCTTGAGGTGCAAGGTCTACTGAAAACGTACTAACCTAAGTCAACACATAAGCTGCACTAGTTGTAGCGCCCTAATCTTAACTGAGTTCTCTCATGCATGCTTTGCTAGGGCGATCTAAGCATGTAATCCATAATTTAATCTTCACCTTTGTAACTTAACGCAAACTTCTAGGGTACTCTGTTATGACTCCTCGAGTATTTCTTAGTCATGGAGCACTAGGGTCTAGACCCTTTGACCATCGCTCATGATTCTAAGGTACTCAGTCTACTAGAGGCGTCTTGACGTAGATCATCGTTTAGCCAACCTGACTCTACGTCCTAGCTCTATGCAGATAAATACGCTCTACACGGAGAACACAGAGTCAAACAATTAGAGCTAAAACATACAATATCATGCAAACATACAAGGAAATAAGCTGAATAGGGAGATAACATCACTCAATCACCTAGAGCACAGATCACAATAGCCAATTCTCCTTTCTAACATAGCGGAAAACATATAACATAATATTCATCATAAATCTCAACATACTCATTCTCAATGTCCAACTCGTATCCTAGTCATGCATATTCTCTTTCTAGCTTTATATAATAGATAAAACAATATGCTTCTTGAAAATCTCAACCTTGGGACATAATGGTTATTTTAACATAATGATGTAAAAATAAGGAGCCTATTAGGTGTCACTTAGGAAGCTTTCGATTCATACACAGAACTAGACTCGTATTAGAGAGATTGAGAGGTTGCTAATAGTAATATATGATATTTCATACCTATTAGATCCACCCTAAGAGCATGAGATTGATGAGAGCTCCCCGACTTGTATACAAACGCATAAGGACTTAGATAGAACAAAAAGATTAAGACAAGCTGCTAACTCCGTCATTGATTCAAAGACTTACAACTCTCTTTAATCGTTCATCTACTTTCTCTTTCACTCTTTTTACTGTAAAGACCTAGAATGAATTTTGTCTATCTTTCCCTTATTTTGAGGGCTGGTGTATTAAGTCAAGAAGAGAGGAAAGAAAGATTAGCTCATTAACCTCTATAACTCGGTTGAACTTGAGGAAATTTTGAATGGTAACTTACACCCCTAGGATAAAAGTGAGGTGGGTAAATGAACTTATGAACCAAATAGGGCTAGATTGACTCCATCCATAGAATTGGCTAGTTCGAGGGCCCGTTAGAACACATAGCCTCGAGAAACATTAAATGGAAAAGAGATTCGCAATTCTTTATTTTTCAAATTTAGTCTTTTTGGCTCTTACTTGTTACAATCACACTCTTTCAATAACGAGACAGTGATTATGTAGCACTGTTCTAACCCAACGAAAAAATTATTCGATTAAAAATTACACCTTTGGAGTATGGTTGAGCCTCGTGTCATGTTGAGAGAAAATGTTACAAAACGTGGACAAGAAAAATCGTTAAAAACAAGTTTAAAGAAAGCATTGTGAAAATCAATTGCATTGAATTGAAGACATGTAAGCAAGAGAGATTACAATACTCAATTTGAAGAGGTCCGATGACTATTTAGTCCCCGTATTACATTTTGAGGCGATTCATG